TATTAGTTGTTAAGTCAACAAATGTTCATTAGTCCTATTTCTATAGTGCTAGAAACTTAGCTGGTGAGAGATAAAAGCATCTTTTATGAAGAATAATAAGGGTATTAAGTAGAATCTCTTGGTGGTAATAGATAGAAGGGATTGAAGCAGTCTCTGGGAGTTTATCATTCGTTCAACCAGCCAAGTTCATGGCTCACCTGTGTTAGGGCCTGAAGACCACAAAGGCAGGACAGTGGTGCCTGACCTCAAATAACTGACCACAGGGTATAGAAGAGATATGAAAGAAATGTAAGGGAGTAATGAGTATGGCAAAAGCACTGCTATCTGGAACTAGGAATCACCAGACTATAGATGAGGAAATAGTCTACAGTATCAGAGAAGATATCAAAGGGGAGATAATACACCAATAGAATACTGAAGAATGAGCAGAAATTTGCCAAAGGAAAAAGGTGAAGGAGGAGGACATTCGTTACTTGCAGGGAACTGCAAGCAATTCACCAAAGAATGAATGAAAATAAGGTTGGAAGGAATGGGCAGACAGGTAGCTGGGAAGGATGCAAAGGCCAAACCATGAAGGCCTTGTAGGCCATGCCATGAAAGAGAATTTAGATATTATTTTGTAGCTGATGGGGATTTGTTACGGGGTTTTAAGCAGTAAAGTAATATGGTTAGATTTGAACTTTAGAATGACAACTCTGCTAGCAATCAACGTGATGTTTTAAAACCTAAATCAGATGTCACTCTTCTGCTTAAATCTTTCCAGATGTACAACATTTCACTTGGAATAAAAGTTAGATCCCTCCAATGCCCGAAGACACGTAGCTCCCAATGACCTCTCTGACCTCAGCTGCTTCCATACTCTGTGCAGCCTTGCTGTTCCCTTTACCTGCCCAGTGTCCTTTTGCTAGGGTCTTTCCCTGAAACACTCCCCATCATTACCCACAGAGCTCACCTCCTCCAGCCCTGGCTCCAGTAACACCTTCCCCATGAGGCCTGCTCTGACCACCATACTGAAAATCACTACTGCTTCCTGCCCTGCTGCCTGTACCTCTGCCCTGCTTTGTTCTTCTCTACAGCAAAATATCACTGGAGATTTGTCTGTTCTGTCTACTGCTTTCTCCTGGTGCCAAAAGGCACAGAGCACATTCTTGACAAGTATTGTTAAATAAAGGAATGGCAGCGCTGTGGAGAATGGATGGAACAGAATAATTCCAATCAGAGTGTGGTCTGTATACCAGTGCCAGAATTTAATTATATCTCCATAGTAGTCCTGTTAAGCTTTTTCTTTCAAAAGCAATGACTCCAATTAGAGCTTCATATTATTTATCATTACTACCAATGAGGAAGAAAAGATTAAAATGATCCTTATCTTACTAGTAGAAAAATGAAAACATTATAGGTTAAAATCCTAGATTAGGGCTGTGCTGTTAAACAAGGCAAAGAAGAAATTTAAATGTGTTCACTTGGCCAGTATTAGTGATCAACTCCAACATCAATTCCCTTCAAAAGCATTCACATATTTCTTTTTTTTTACCAAAACCTAGGATCCACAAGTCTTGCCTGAATAGTCAGAAGCATTCTACTTTCTTATACTATACACATAACCGACTTACACTAGTGGTAGAAAAATTTCCATTTTGAAAAAGATGAAATAGAAACACATACCTCACTTCCATTTATTCTCACATACACATTGTACATGAATGTATAACAAGTAGTTTCTTCATCATATATGACTCCCAGCTCTTTTTCATTTACAATAACTAAAGGATGATATATATCAATAATGATATGGTCTTCCTTCTGTCTGATATCCAGTTTAGGTGGTCCAACTTCCCCTGGGTTGGCAGTGAAGAAGACAAAAAAGAAGTAAAATCAGTACTAGCCCTGGAACTTTAGAGTACACTATATAAAATTACCGGAATCAATCAACCTACTATTTTTTTTTTGTTCTAAAGCAGAACCACATTTAAATCATTTCAAAAAGATCTAGAAGACATTCTGCATCCTTAATAAAGAGATGTTTAATAAATCTCTTCAGGAAAGAAGTATTCTTATCTAAACTCCTCTTCAACAGTTTAAATTCATTTCTAGTGCTAAAAAAAATAGTTCGTCATGTAAAAAACCTCAAGTTATTTTTTTCTTTTATCTTTGGTTCTGTAGATTTTTTAAAAATGGTTTTCTAAAAAAACCACTTCAGGAAAGGCATTTATCTTTGAACCCTCACCAAAACTTTTTGTATCTCCAACATCTATGGATGTCTGGCACGAAGGCTACATAAAAGCTTGCTAAAATATTCATTTTTTATTGTGAAAATCAGAACTAGATATTCATTCGGTCAACAAATCTTTATGTGTCTGATGTTTGGCACTTTGCTGATGAACCATTTATCTACTCTTCACTTATTTACTGCACAGCTACCAAGTGCCAGGCAGGTCTGCTTTTACTCACCAATGTATCCTCAGGGGCTAACATACTTTCTGGCACATAGTATGCCTTTGACAAATCCATGTGGGAAAAATCTGACATATGGATGGTATAAGTATCAGCTCTTTCTACCGGCAAAGGCATGAACTCTAGGGAATAAAACTATTTCAAAGGCAAGTAGAGAAAGGGCTATGGAGAGGACCAAGTAGGCACAATCTGAAAAGCAGGAGGAGAACAAGGCAGCGGTTGAAGTAATGAAGCATGAAGCTGAATAAAATAGGAGGAAATGAAGCTGGAAGTCAAAGCATAGAAGGACTAGAAGACTAGGGAGGAGTCAAGTGACTAAAGGATTCTTTTACCCTGGAGTGAGGGTTTGAGAGCTACAAGGTAGGATGTTAGTCAGAAAAGAGGGATTGGCACTGAAGATCCTACGGCGTGAAGTAATAACAAAGATCAAGTATACATGGGAATGGGATGCTGGAAGCACGCAGAGCTGAAAAAATCACTGGGGCTGAAGAGATTACGGAATTCTAAAATTGTTTTAATGTATGAAGTTGGTATTAAAATTCCCACAGGTCTTAAAGATTTGGGGCAGAGAGGAAGAATGAGAGCAGCTGCCAAAGTCCTTACTGAATGTAACTCAGAAAGGAATAACAGAGAAGACAAGGAGAAGAAGGGTGCTACAGAGTCTAGGTGGGCAGCACTGATCTGTATTTGTATGGAGTAAAACTGTAATGGTTTAGTAGGGGCCGAGCAACGGGCACCTCTTAGTCCTATTTTGTGGGGCTTGAGAGACAAGGAAGACATGAACTCCCTAAATTCCTGCAAATGTTTCTTGGATATTGTAATAATTTTTAGGAACTGTTAATAAAAGCAAATATATACAAAAGACGTGTAAGTATTTTCAAGTTTGGAATTTAGACATGTATATATTCTACTCACCTTGTTTGCACAAAATAAATTCTTTGGACTCTACATAGGCTGATTCTTTTTGTCCAAGCCTAGCTTTAACTCTGGCCCATAAAGGAATTGATGGATCAAGAATCTTGTAAAAGATATTACAGTAATAATCAGAGGTATTGCAGGCATCAATCCACGTTGTCTCACTAAAATGAAGAGGAATAAAGAAACATAAAGGTAACTTTTATTAATATATAAACTTCAACCATCTCTATCGATGCTTTGCTTTTGATTCACAGTATGGAGCCGGTAGAAAGAGCTGAATAAGAACAGGATAGAGAAGCTAGAATAAGTAGGGAGCCCTTACTTTTTGGTGAGAAGTACTACAAATTCCTTTATAATAAAGAGGCTCAATTCAAATGATAAGACCTGTACAAACTACATTCCACATTTGCTCTTTAAGCAACTTCAGATTCCATTAACATGATCATTACTTAATTACAGAATCCAACACATTACATATACACTATAGGAAGACACGATTACTTATTTAATACAGAACTGTGAGTTTTATTAGTTGTGCCTTAAAATCTTTGAAGTTAGTGATACTTGTCTACTTCAATTTTGACAGGAAAAAACTAAGTGGCAGGAAATATTCTGAAAAGAACTAATTTGCATCCTTGGTGCTTCTAGACGTCTGCAAGCTGTTCAGGAAGTTTTGCCACATGCGAAGGAAGGATGACGGAAGAAAACAACGAGCCTATGGAATGTGCAAAGACCCAGACAAAAACGATAAAAAGTGTAAGAGAGTAACACTCACCCGTAGATCTTTACCTGGACAATAAAAACAAGCGTCTGCTGTGGCATTGGGTAATCCCAAGATACGACAGTATTCAAGTTGTGGGCCTTAACGTTAACATTGGTTGGTAGAGGCACTGTAAGAGAGTCCAAAAGTATAATGGACAATAGTAAGAAATTAACATTAACACTAGAAAACCTTATTATAAGAAGCCATGTTAACCAAACATATATTTTGAAGGAAAACAAAAATTCACCAGACTAGATAATAAAATTATTTAAATTAGATTTCTAAAAATTAATTTTATTGAAAAATGTGTAGAAGAGTTCTGATTCATTTTAAATTAGTGCAACAACACTGTGATAGAAAGGAAACACAAATATGAGGCAATAAATTCCTATAATGTTTTAGGCGTTTCTAAAATAAATGCACAATAATCCTCAATTCATTTAATTGCTAGGATTTTCCATATTTGATAACACTAATTGTATTCGATGTCAAGGGAAGATCTGGCTAAAAAAGAGGTGGCTAATTTCACTCTACAATACTAGCCAGGCTCTCAACCCTACACCCCACAGAATTACGCATCTTTTAAAACCTTTTCTATTGCACAGGAATAGATGCCTAATGATTGGCTGAAGGAACTACTGACCAGCTATATCAACATTTTGCTGGCGTATGCAGGACTTTTTACAAAACATACCCAATATTTTTTCTTGCCTTTGCTCTTTTAAACCATTTCAGAAAAACGTTTGTTGATGTGAGCCACATGAGGGAACAGGCAGAAGTCACTTTAACATCTTGTCATCAGACATTACCGAAACCGTAATCTAGTTATTAAAAGTAGCCATCCCCTCCCTCCCCCATGTAGTGTAAAAAGTTGTTGTCCATCATCCCTTGGGAAATTGAACACATGTGCA